TCCAAGTCTCCCTCCTCCCTCCATTTATTCATTTTGTGTCTTTCTTTTTAGAGGCTTTATCTGATATCTAATAATCCTTGGTAGTCTGTTCATATTTGGAAGTGGGGGTCTAAAACTCTGGAAATGGTAGGCCCATGAAGTCATGAGATTAGGGTTGTTGACTATGAACTTCACTATAGGATGATGTGTCTGGATCATTTATGTTGGAGAATTTCCTATATCAGTATTTTTCATCTCTTTAAAAAAAAATTTTTTTAAAGACACGGTGGGGTCTCATTATGTTGCTCAGACTGGTCTTGAACTTCTGAGCTCAAGGGATCCTCCCACTTAAGCCTTCCAGAGTAGCTGGGACTATGGGTATGTGCCACCACGCCCAGAATATTTCTCCGCCTCTTTTCTTGGGATCTGTCTATCCATCTATCTATCTCTATATCTGTATATAATATTTTTACATATTTATGTATATTTACTCTAGAGAGGAACAAAGAAGAAAACAAATAATGCACCATGATCTCCCTGACAAGATAACTCCTAACAATATGAAAGTTAAAAGACATTCACTCATTCATTCAATATTTATTAAGGTCTTCTTGCACCAGGCACTGGGCTAGGCACTGGGGCTACAGCAGTGAACAAATCAAAATCCCTAGAGCTTCCATTCTAGTCTGGGAGACAGACATGTGTGTGCCTAGAGTAGCACTCTCCAACAGATAGATAGGTGTCTCCAATGTCTCCAACATTGTTGTGATGATGGAAATGTTCTAGACTTGTGCAGTCCAATATGGTAGCTGCCAGCTACTGATCACTTGAAACGTGGTTGGTATAACCAAGGAACCAGATTTTTTATTTTTAAGTAAAATTTAAATGCAAATAGCCACTTGTGGCTAGTCATTATCACAGTGGACAGCACTAGAAAATTCCATCCTTACAGTGAGGTACAAGGAAATTGGCAGCATCCCATGGCTTTGGCTAGCTCTCATGCCAGAGTGGACTTCCCCTACCACTGAGGGCAAGCAACCCCACAGGAAGAGAAAGGAAATGCGCCTCCTAAAAGGAAATAAACTCAGCTTCTCCTCCCAGCCACTTCTGGGAGCCCACTCCATGAGAGGTCCAATTTCTCACTGACACAGCAGGAGCGAAACAGGAAACAATGAGTCCCCTTTCCCTAAAGTAAGCATTATTTTTTATTTCTTTCAGATCAATTAAAACATGAATGCATTCACACACATCTTTATACATTCCAAACTAAAAGTACATACTGTTCTCATCTTGATTTTTCTATGGAGCAAAACCTCTTGGCATCTTTTCCATATTAATGAAATCTTACCTCAGCCCCAGTGCCTGGCCCACAGAATGCCTGCCTTGAATCAGCCTGAATTCATTCATTTAACCACTTTTTATTAAGCACCTAATATGTGCTTAAGGTGGATACAGTGGTGAACCAGACTGGCAAGGGCCCTGCCCTTGTGGGACTTAAATTCCAGCAGAGGGAGATGGACGATAAACTGAATAAATAAGCACATTTTGTAGTACGTTACTACAAGATAAGGAATATGGGTAAAAATAGGGCAGGGTGAACGAGTCTGGGAGATCTGGGAAGGAGCTACGTGTTGCAGTATTTTTTTTTTTTTTGGAAACAAGGTCTCGCTCTATTGCCCAGACTGGAGTGCAATGGCACGATCATAGCTCACTGCAACCTCCAACTCCAGGGCTCAAGTGATCCTCCTAGCTCAGCCTCCCCAGTAGCTAGGACTATAGGTGTGCACCACCATGCCTGGCTAATCTTTTTTATTTTTTTCAAGAGACAAGGCCTCACTGTGTGGCCCGGCCTGGTCTCCAACTCCTGGCCTCAAGTGATACTCCCACCTTGGCCTCCCCAAGAGTTTGTGGTATTAACTAGGGTGCTCAGGAAGGTGTCTTTTGAGCAAACACTTGAAAGAGGTGAGGAAACAAGTGAGGGGGCTATCTGAGAGAAGAATGTTCCAGCAGACCGAACAGTGCAAAGGCCCTGAGGCAGGAGTGAGCTGGAGTGTCCCCGTACATGGCACAGGCCAGTGTGGCTGGAGCAGAGTGAGTGAAGAGGGGTTGGGAGATGAGGACACAGGGGTAAGGAAGGGTGCATCAGGTGGCACAGGACCTTGAACTTTGAGGTAACTCAAGTCACTCTGAGTGATGTGGGGAGCCAGAGAGGGTAGCGAGCTGAGGAGGGACAGGGGCTGACTCAAATGTTAAGATCCCGCTGGCTGGTGATGGGGTGGGAACAAACAGGATAGCAAGGACAGACACAGGGAATTTTAATTTTTCCCAAACCTACACCCAAACAAAGGCTGTATATAAGAAATAGCTGAGTTTTAATAGAAATTTAGGGACGATGGGGGATGAGGAGTAGGGGATAGGGTAAGGAAGGCAGGCATTAAATACCAGAGCTGAGCAAATGAATAAAAGTGAATGTTATCAGATCTCCTCTTCCTGAGATCCTCTCAAATGTATCCACCACTGAAGCCTTGACTTTTAGCTTTTTCTTGAATGCTCCTTGAGAGTCTCTCCCTCCCCTCCCCCATGTCCTCTGAGGACCCCTTCTTGCATCTTATCCTAGCTCCCAGCCCCTCCATCCCTCCTCTTCAGCCCGACTCTGGAAATTGCAAATTCTTCCCACTTAAACGTGGAGAGCAATTCACCTTTTGCCCCCAAGGGCATTTTCCTAAACAAAGAGAAACCTAGAGAAAAATTACAGCTTGCCTACTAGGCAGAAATGCCCACAGGCAGTTGCAGTATTTTTCTTGCTTATATCAGCTGGGATCTCCCTGCCCGTTAGGATCCATATAAAATTAATTCAAACCCTATTCTTCAACAGTAGCAAGGTGAACACCCTCCCTCCCCAAGTTTCTCCTAATTCTCCCCTCCCCGAAGTCTGCTTCAGCTAGATCCATTCAGTTTGGGAAATCCAGTCCATATCTGTTTCCTGGTTTGAGGGTGCATGGACTAATTCAGTCCTTTTTTTTAATTTCCATACAACCAACCACACACACAAGGCATTTATGTATGAGCATGTGAGTGTATACACAGGGCTTTTCTGAAGATTCGGGGACACAAAATGATTTACATCAACGGGCTAAAACTCAACACTCGGCCGGGCACGGTGGCTCACGCCTGTAATCCTAGCTCTCTGGGAGGCCGAGGCGGGTGGATTGTTTGAGCTCAGGAGTTTGAGACCAGCCTGAGCAAGAGCGAGACCCCGTCTCTACTAAAAATAGAAAGAAATTAATTGGACAACTAAAAATATATAGAGAAATTGGCCGGGCATGGTGGCGCATGCCTGTAGTCCCAGCTACTTGGGAGGCTGAGGCAGGAGGATCGCTTGAGCCCAGGAGTTTGAGGTTGCTGTGAGCTAGGCTGACGCCACGGCACTCACTCTAGCCCGGGCAAAAGACTGAGACTCTGTCTCAAAAAAATAAATAAATAAATAAAACTCAACACTCGAGGTTAAGTATTCTTGCCTAGATATTTTGCTTTCTCTGCAAGCCACTATCGAGCCATATGTCTTTATCTATCTTGTCTTCCCCAAACCTGCACTGTTCAATACTATTTCGATTTAAATTAATTAAAATTAGATAAAATTTAAAATTCTGCCCCTTCATCACACTGGTCACTTTTCAAGTGCTCAAGAGCCACATATGGCTGGTGGCTGCCATGCTGGACAGCGAAGACGGAACATTCCACCATCACAGCATGTTCTTTTGGACAAGGCTGGACTAGAGAAACGTACCTGTAAGAACTGGTCTGGTGTCTGTAGTTAAGATGATCAAAATTTTACCCCACTACATATGTCATTTAAAAAAATAAATACGGCCAGGCCAGGTGGCTCGTGACTGTAATCCCAGGTACTCAGGAGGCTGAGGCAAGAGGACTGCTTGAGCCCGGGAGTTGGAGGCTGCAGTGAGCTATCATCGCACCACTGCACTCCTGCCTGGATGACAGAATGAGACCTTCATCTCTGAAAAAAAAAAGAAAATTTTAAAAATTAAAAAATATATATAGAGAGAGTTATACTCCATGGGATTCCAGAACTAGTGTTTGGGGTTTTTTTAAGGATAATATACCTGTACATCTGCACCTGTCAGATCATATGCATTTACCTGATACCAGAGAATAGTTACACAATATTCCTAAGTGTGGGTTCATTTATTCACTCACTCATTTATTCCATAATTATTACCAACTTCATCGTATGTGCCCAGAACTGTGCCCCAGCCATGGTAGGAGACCGAATGGGACCCTGGGGAGCTTGCAGTCTCATGGGAGAGGCTGAGATTAATTAAATAATCTCAGAAATAAATGCAAAATGGCAGCAATTGTGAAGGAGAGTGAAATGCGCCTACAGCCTGTGCCATGATGTATATCCATCCATGAGAACTGATTCTGCATTGCACGCCTCTTCCCACCAAGTCTTAAAAATTAGGGCCTAGTGGGAGAACCCAGGCAAGTTATGGTATATGTCTGGGCCTGTGTTTCCCCCTCTGAAAAAATGGAGATAATAGTTTCTATTTGGATATTGTGACGATTAAATGAGTTCTTAGACTAGATAGAACAGGGCTTGCCACAATGTAAGTGATCACTCATTCATATTATTATTTTCATTATTCTCGCTTCTAAGCTTCAATCCTCTGCTTTAAAATGCAGGAGTAAATAAGACCTTCGGAGGGGCTGCAGTGAGGATTAAACAAGCAATTATTTCATTAACGGTCACAGCTAACATTTCTGTAGCACCTCATTTGCATCAGACACTAACCTTTGCAACAACTCCGGAAGGGAGTTATTGCTTTTGTGCCCATTTTACAGACGTTTACACTGAGGCACTCAGTGGTACAATGACTTGCTCAAGAGCTCAAGGCCAATTAGGATTTGGGGCAGTGGGAGGTTAGGAGTGAGGGAGGTTCCGGGCTGGGCCCTGAGGGCATCTAGGTGGAACTCACCCAGCCCTTCATGCCCCCTGACCACAGGAAGCTGGATGCCTTCATCTATGACGCAGCCGTGCTCAACTACATGGCCCGCAAAGATGAGGGCTGCAAGCTCGTCACCATCGGCTCTGGCAAGGTCTTTGCCACGACAGGCTATGGCATCGCCCTGCACAAGGGCTCCCGCTGGAAGCGGCCCATCGACCTGGCGCTGCTGCAGTTCCTGGGAGACGGTGCGGCTGTGCGCAGGGGTTTCTGCACGGGAGAGGGGAGGAGAGACCCCTGGGTCCCGGAGAAGGAGGGGATGAAGACCCGGACACCAGGGTTTGAGGGGGGAAGGGGCTGCAGGCCTAGACTCCCACATCCGAAGGAAGGGTCCTCTGGAGGGTACTTACGGCAGGTGACCTCTGATCCCCTCCCCCAGATGAGATCGAGATGCTGGAGCGCCTATGGCTCTCAGGGATCTGCCACAATGACAAAATTGAGGTGATGAGCAGCAAGCTGGACATCGACAACATGGCAGGTGTCTTCTACATGCTCCTGGTGGCCATGGGCCTCTCCCTGCTGGTCTTCGCCTGGGAGCACCTGGTGTACTGGCGCCTGCGGCATTGCCTGGGGCCCTCCCACCGCATGGACTTCCTGCTGGCCTTCTCCAGGGTATGAGGGAGAGAGCGAGGCACACGGGGAGATGGGGGAGACACAAGCAAGGACTGGCGGAGACAGGGAGATACAGGTAGAGAGAGGGAGAGAGCGGGGAGGAGCAGCATAGACTGGGGAGGTACAGGGTGGGATGGGTAGAAATGGACGGGAGACGCGGGAGAGGAGGGAGGAACCAAGGGAAGGCAGCCGTCTCCATCATCCCGCGCTGACTTCGTCCTGTCCCCTGGGCCGCAGGGCATGTACAGCTGCTGCAGCGCCGAGGCCGCCCCGCCGCCAGCCAAGCCCCCGCCGCCGCCGCAGCCTCTGCCCAGCCCCGCGTACCCCGCGGCGCGGCCGGCGCCCGGCCCAGCGCCCTACGTGCCCCGAGAGCGCGCTGCTGCGGTGGACCGCTGGCGCCGGGCCAAGGGCCCGGGGCCGCCGGGGGCCGCGGGCCTGGCCGACGGCTTTCACCGCTACTACGGCCCCATTGAGCCGCAGGGCCTGGGCCTCGGTCTGGGCGAGGCAAGGGCGGCGCCCCGGGGCGCGGCCGGGCGCCCGCTGTCCCCGCCGGCCGCGCAACCCCCGCAGAAGCCGCCGCCCTCCTACTTCGCCATCGTGCGCGACAAGGAGCCAGCCGAGCCCCCAGCCGGTGCTTTTCCTGGCTTCCCCTCGCCGCCTGCGCCCCCCGCCGCCGCAGCCACAGCCGTCGGACCGCCCCTCTGCCGCCTGGCCTACGAGGACGAGAGCCCGCCGGCGCCCGCCCGCTGGCCACGCTCGGACCCCGAGAGCCAGCCCCTGCTGGGGCCCGGCGCGGGCGGTGCGGGAGGCGCGGGGGGAGCGGGCGGCGGAACCCCGGCCGCACCACCGCCTTGCCGCGCCGCGCCGCCCCCCTGCCCATACCTCGACCTCGAGCCTTCGCCGTCGGACTCGGAGGACTCGGAGAGCCTGGGCGGCGCGTCGCTGGGCGGCCTGGAGCCCTGGTGGTTCGCCGACTTCCCCTACCCGTACGCCGAGCGCCTCGGGCCGCCGCCCGGCCGCTACTGGTCGGTCGACAAGCTCGGGGGCTGGCGCGCCGGCAGCTGGGACTACCTGCCCCCGCGCAGCGGTCCAGCCGCCTGGCACTGCCGCCACTGCGCCAGCCTGGAGCTGCTGCCACCGCCGCGACACCTCAGCTGCTCGCACGACGGCCTGGACGGCGGCTGGTGGGCGCCGCCGCCCCCGCCCTGGGCGGCTGGGCCCCCGCCTCGACGCCGGGCCCGCTGCGGGTGCCCGCGGCCGCACCCTCACCGCCCGCGGGCCTCGCACCGCGCGCCCGCAGCTGCGCCACCGCACCACCACCGCCACCGGCGCGCCGCGGGGGGCTGGGACCTCCCGCCGCCCGCGCCCACCTCGCGCTCGCTCGAGGACCTCAGCTCGTGTCCCCGCGCCGCCCCGGCGCGCAGGCTCACGGGGCCCTCCCGCCACGCTCGCAGGTGCCCACACGCCGCACACTGGGGGCCGCCGCTGCCCGCAGCGCCCCACCGGAGACACCGGGGTGGGGACCTGGGCACCCGCAGGGGCTCGGCGCACTTCTCCAGCCTCGAGTCCGAGGTATGACGCGGCCCCGGGGGCCCCACCGCCCCCTTGGTCAGCGCAGGCCACGGCCCGAGGGGGCGCGCGGAGGGGACAGGACCCGTGTGGGTTGGGAAGGAAAACAATGGAACTGGCGGGACCCCGCCTGGAGCAGCGTCCTGTGCCCCCTTGCTTTGGGGAAACCGCGAGCCGGAAAGGATTTGGTCCCCCAAGTCTCGCCCAGACTGAGAGCGAGGGGGCCGGGGTCTCAGAGCCCACTGAACCTTTTTATAAACCCTACAAGGGCTTTTTAACGTCACCAGATGGGGCGGGAGGTTGGGGGGGGGTCACGCCACGCCCGCGCCCCACCCCACACCCGGGGCCGTGGCCCCCACATCACTGTGCAGCTCCCCGGCCCCAGCCACGCCTCCGGGGAAGCCCGTTTTTAACCTTTCATCCACCGGGACTCAAAAACCTGTGAGACGCGTTCGCCAAACTGTGACCCCAGATCTTGGCCCCGCCACACAGAAACCCCTGACCCCAGACTGTGACTTCCAACTCCTAAAATGGTCATCCGACCCCAGACTGTGACCCCTGACCCCAAACTGTGCCCCCAACCAGACTGTGACCCTTGACATCAAACCGTGACATCAAACCCTTCTTCCTTTTCCATCCTCAGCCGCTTTTCCCTACTTTGACCTAGGACACGTCCCCAACGCAAGCCCCGCCTTCCCCTGCCCCGCGATGATCCCAATCTTCCTCAAGCCAAAACTTCCCACCCGGCCTCACCTCCTTACCACCCCAGGTGCCACCAGCCACATCCTCTCCAGATCCCACCCTTTGTTGTGACCCTTCAGTCATGACCCAGCAGACTCTCAAAAGCTTCCTCTTCCCAGATCTCCAGCAGGGTCTGGGGCTGGGTTGTGGAGGGGAGGGTATGGGAATCCACACTTCACCACCAACCTCCCTTCCCACTCTCCTGTTCCACACTGCAGTGTTTGGAATAAACCATGTTTTTATGCCTCCTCAGTCCAAGCCTGAGCTCTGTGTCTGTCTCTTAGCCCCCCTCAACCTCTCTGGAGGAAACAGAAACTGACAAAAGTCCCACAGGGTAAGAGGAAACAGAAGGAGAATTAGAGAGAGAACGGAGACTCTGAAGGGAAATGGGGAGACAAAGACGAAGAAAGAGGTGGTGGAAAGAAACCCCGGGAAGAGAGAGACTGAGAGAGGGGCCAGGGCACACAGACACCCCAAGACAGTGGTGAGAGCAATCTTAGATACAAAACATTTTAGGATAAACTTTAGGGTCCCATTTCCTACGGCTACAGGCAACAAGGCTAACTAGATTCTTAATATCCTGCTCATGCAAGTGGAGAGTGTCTAACATAGCCCAGCCAATCCACATTATCTAGAATGCTGTTAATCTCACCAATGAGAATCTATTTCTAACATTTCATTATTCCAATTAGCCACACCGCTGGTGCTGATGGACGATAAAGAGAGGCAAAGCACTTGTAATAGCTGCCTCCAGAGGCGCTGACCAAAGCTGCAATGTGAACGCCTGGTTAGGCAATTGACTGCCCCTAGAGGGTAGATGCAACCAACTAACTTACACATAATATCCAGCCTGTCTATACTAAAGCATTTTGAAATAAATTAAAGCCATCATAACAAGGAGAAGAGAAGAAACTGGCTTCATGGATCCTCAGGGAACAGAAAGCCAGTCTCCTTGCTAGTAGGAACTCAAGTTTGCATGCATGAATAATTAATTAAGTGGAAGAAAGCTTTGGGAATCAAACGTGGAAGATGGAGTCTTCCGGCTCTGAACGACTTTGATTGACGGGGAAAAAGACCTCCTACAGAACTACAACTCCCAGAAGGCCTTGCCACTGCTATGAGGAAGAGCGCCCCAAAGTCACGCGGAACATGTAGTTTTGAGGCTTCTCTCGCTGGGCCATTACCCAGCTGACGACGTTACCTTAGCTCTCCTTCCCTCTCCTCCCACCGTCCTCTCTAATTGGTGGTCCGAGGAGGTTTCCAAGGTAACCGCGCAGTGGAGCGAATTCATTAGATGGAAAGCTAAACCCGGAAGTGACGCTCTTACATTGCGCCAGCGGTGAGAAGATGGCGGCGCGCAAGGGTCGGCGGCGCACGTGTGAAACCGGGGAACCCATGGAGGCCCAGTCTGGCGACACAGGTTCCACGGGCTCAGCCCAGGTCTACCTGCCCGGTCGAGGACCGCCGCTGCGCGAAGGGGAGGAGCTGGTCATGGACGAGGAGGCCTATGTGCTGTACCACCGAGCGCAGACTGGTAGGGCTGTGGGCTCGGACTCCTGGATCTTGAAGGGGGGCAGTCCTGAGCCTTTAACATAAGAGGCGCTCAGGAAGAGAAGGCTGGGGTCTAAGAGAGGTGATGTCACGCTGGAGACGATCGATCCCTGAGGGAGGTGAGAGTTGAGATCTCTGTGTCCCATCCTAACTCTTAAACCCCTCCTTCCGTCCTCAGGCGCTCCTTGTCTTAGCTTTGACATAGTCCGAGATCACCTGGGAGACAACCGGACAGAGCTTCCTCTTACGCTTTACCTATGTGCTGGGACGCAGGCGGAGAGTGCCCAGAGCAACAGGTGGGTGAGACCCGAGGCTTTCCCAGGATGAGGAGTCCGAGACCTCAGAACCCAGAATAGGGCTTCCAGTTTTGCCTCTCCCAGACCCAGGAATCTGGGTTTCCAGCCGCCTCCCTTCTCCTTGAGGATCCTGGCATCCAGTGTTTTTCTCACCCCACACTTTTTCCCAGACTCATGATACTTCGGATGCACAATCTGCATGGCACAAAGCTCCCACCCTCAGAAGGCAGTGATGAAGAGGAAGAGGAGGAAGAAGATGAAGAGGACGAAGAAGAGCGGAAGCCTCAGCTGGAGCTGGCCATGGTGCCCCACTATGGTGGCATCAACCGAGTTCGGGTACATATGGTCCCAAGAGCCTGCTTTGAATTCTCTGGAGCACACCTTACCCACCTGCTATGTTCATACCTCTCCCAGAGCCTTCTCATGCCCTTCAACTTTTAGAAAAAAACTTGTCACATCATAGTTTTGTATGTTCTATCTTTTTTTTTTTTTTGGAGACGGAGTCTTACAGGTAAAGCGCAGTGTCATCATCACAGCTCACAGCAACCTCAAACTCCTGGGCTCAAGCGATCCTTCTGCCTCAGCCTCCTGAGTAGCTGGGACTACAGGCACGCACACCACCATGCCCGGCTAATTTTTCTATTTTTTGTAGAGATGGGGTCTTGCTCTTGCTCAGGCTGGTCTCGCACTCCTGAGCTCAAACGATCCTCCTACCTCTGCTTCCCAGAGTGCTAGGATTACAGGCGTGAGCCACCTCGCCTGGCCTATATTTTAACTATTATGATTAGTTGTCATTATATGCTATGTACTGCTTTAGATTATAAGGATAGTTTTTACGTTCTTCATTCTTCTCTTTGGTAAAATGGTGAGGGTTATAAAACTCGATGGGGTTGATATGAGTATAAAACAAAATAACTTATAGTGCCTAGAACAGCACCTGGTTGTAACATGAGATTTGTGCCTTTCGTTATATTATTACTTAGGAACTGTTTGGGGTTGTGGATTTTCTTTGTTTTTTGCTTTGGAGTTAAAGTATCTTTTGACCAGGTAGATGTGTGAATAAAACAAGGTGGTGTATGAGTGCACTGAGAGCGGCACTTGGCTCATAGCTGTTCTGTGTGTTTCTATTAAGTTATAATTACTGTGTTTCAGGGCTATTCTAGGCCCTGAGGATTTGACAGGAGGGAAAAGGTCTCTGGCTCCATGAACTCACATGCTAGTGGGGGAAGGGAACAAGAAGAAACTAAGTAAATGTGTAGTATGTCAAAAGGTGCTGAGTGTTGTGGAGAAAAAGTAAAATGAAGCTGTATAAGGGGATTAGGGTGTTCCTGGGGTAGAGTTGCTATTTTAAATAGTGCGGTTAGGGGAGTATTTGATGATAAAGTGCCATTTGAACAGAGACCCACAGGTAGTGAGGCCGGGAGCCAAGGCTACCTGTGGGAAACACATTTGCAGGCAAAGGACACACAAGTTCAAAGGCCCTGGGGTGAACTTGGCATGTTTGAGGAGTTTCAAGGGAAGCTAGGGAGTCCGGTGTGTCTGGAACAGAATGAACAGGGCGGAGGTGGGAAATGACAAGAGTTGGAGGATGCGCACAGAGGAGAAATATTGTTTAGGGCCTGGGCTTTTACTTGGGAGAAAGTGGGAGCCACTGTAGAGTTTACAGCCAAGGAAAGACAGGGTCTGGCTTTTGTTGTAAAGGGATCCCTATGGCTGCCATATTGAGAATCAGTTTTGGGGACGCAAGGGCAGAAGGATAGAGCCCTGTTAGGAGGCTGTTACGGTAATTCAGGAGAAGGGTGACATTATTAGTAGCTTGAGTGACAGCAGTAGAGGTAAAGAGAAGGGGGCGGAAGTGTGTGTTTTTAGTGTAGCTGGTATAAATGTTGGGCGTGAGGAAGAAGAGATAAGACAGGAATGAATTGTAGTTTGGGGTCTGAGGTAGGGAACATGGGGAGGAGTTGTAGGTGGCAATTAAGAGCTGCTTATGTTTGAATGGTCAGTGCAGTAAGAGTCTGGAGTTCAGGAGAGAGGTCAGGGCTGGGGGATACTGGACACCTTGAGGCTGGATGAGATCTCCTAGTGAGCAAAACGTACAGAGGCAGAGAGATCCGAGGGCTGGTGGGAATTGCACCCTCCATTTCCAGACATCTTGGAGCTTTGTCCTCCCCCCCTACCTACTCCACCACCACCCCCCTCCCCTCGCCCCACATACCTAATGTGGAGAGTCGTGCCAGTTACCAAGCTGGTCTTGCAGGCTGTGGTTTCCTTCCCACAGAGGTTTCTGGGACCTGTAGTCCCAGCCCTGGGAGATCTGTGGAACCACAGTTCTTGTTCTCAGGGATGGGGGAAGCTTGCGGTCACCAGCCTGAGCCTCCTATCCCCGCACTTCACACATCCTTCCCCCTTCCCCTGCAGGTGTCATGGCTGGGCGAGGAGCCTGTGGCTGCAGTATGGTCAGAGAAGGGCCAGGTGGAGGTGTTTGCTCTGCGGCGGCTCCTACAGGTGGTAGAGGACCCCCAGGCCCTGGCAACCTTCCTCCGGGACGAGCAGGCTCGAGTGAAGCCCATCTTCTCCTTCTCTGGCCACATGGGTGAGGGCTTCGCCCTTGACTGGTCCTGTCGAGTGCCTGGTGAGTGTCTGGGGCCTGCGTGTGGCCGTGGGAGGCGGGAAGGAGCGGGGCTGCAGCAAGGGCGGGTGCTTGGGCTGCAAGAGGAGAGTGAGCTGTGGCCAGGTAGGACAAAATCGTCTCCTGACTGCCTTTCCCAGGTCGCCTGCTCACCGGTGACTGTCAAAAGAACATCCATCTCTGGACACCTACAGATGGCGGCTCCTGGCACGTGGACCAGCGGCCATTTGTGGGCCACACGAGCTCTGTGGAGGACCTGCAGTGGTCACCGACTGAGGACACAGTGAGGGAGGGCTGGGGGCCTGGACGCCTAGGTCTGATGGGTAACGGGTTAGGGACCTAGAGTCCTGGGTCTGAGGGAAGAGGGTGCTGGGGGCCTGTTAGAGATTCAGTTTTCAGGCCAAGTCCTAGCAAGGGAGACACTGAAAGAGAGGGTAGCCCCCCAACTAGTTCCAGGTCTTCACCCTGGGGTCGGGGGTACATCTGGGTTACTCAGACTCCACCTTGCCCAGGTGTTCGCCTCCTGCTCAGCTGACGCTTCCATTCGCATCTGGGACATCCGAGCAGCCCCCAGCAAAGCCTGTATGCTCACCACGGCCACCGCCCACAATGGGGATGTCAACGTGATCAGCTGGAGCCGCCGGGAGCCCTTCCTGCTCAGTGGCGGGGATGACGGGGCCCTTAAGGTCTGGGACCTTCGGCAGTTCAAGGTATTTTCCCACCTGGACGCTTGGGGGCTAGAGAAGCTACGGATCTCAGCAGCCACTGGGATTTTT